AAGAATACAAAAACTCACACATGAAGGCAAATCTACGTGTCCCAGGATAATGTTGCAAGATCCAATCTGGTTTGGTCACCAGGATCAGGGCTTTTACTCTTCAGTCAGTTTACTCTGGGTGACTGACCCAGACTGGATCTTGCAATACAAAAACTGTTACGAGAAAGAGAACTAACTACAACCAGATTTTCTTGCTTCATTCAACAAGCCACAGCTTGATACCTGATGTGCAATATCCTGCACAATATTACATACCTTATAAAATGTAATATGTGGTATACCAGCATTTCTCAACTTTGTCAACTTTAAGATGAGTGGACTTCAACTCCCAGAATTCCCCAGTCAGCATACTGCAGATCAACTACACATCTTGATAGCTATAGTGTATATTCTCCATACAGGTAATCCTCAACATACAATCATTCATTTAGTGGCCATTCAAAGTTACAATGGCACTGAAAAAGTGATTGGTGGTCCTCGCCCTTACAACCATCACGGTAGTTCCACAGCACCTCCTCCATAATTAAAATTTCGGCTGGCAACCAACATGTATTTACAATGGTTGCAGCATCCTCCCAGCTCCTGGCAAGCAACATCAGTGGGGAAATTAACAGCTACAATGATATACTTCATGACAGTGGTAAAAGGTTGTAAAATGGGACACGATCCACTTAGCTACCTCCTTGCTTAACTGACAGAAATTCTGGTCCCCCTTGTGATCATAAGTCAAGAACTTTATCTATATGTACTATACGTGACAGTACATATCATCTTAGCTTCCTTTGCTTAAATGACAATAAACTCAAAAGGAGTTTAAAAACAACAGCCATTTGTCCGAAATGGTATAGGGTTTCCTGCCTGAGCAGGGGGTTGGACTAGATGACCTCCAAGGTCCCTTCCAACTTTATTATTATTATTATTATTATTATTATTATTATTATTATTATTATTATTATTATTATTATTATTATTATTATTATTATTATTATTATTATTATGGATCATCGCACAGTGCAGCCAGATGTTCAGACTGGATTTGGCATTTTGTCTATCTATCGAGTCCTTGCCCAGGACCTGGGATAGGCAGATGTGGATGTTTGATGGTATTACAGATACCGTCGCAGGATGAAAGCAGTTCCTAGTAAGACCGCCTTTTGCAATTGACTAATGGTGAATTTGTCAATGCCGATGGTGTTCAAGTGGTGCTCCAGTTGTTTTGGGATTGCACCCAAGGCGCCTATGACTATTGGTACTACCCTTGCTTGCTTTTGCCACAGTCTTTCTATTTCTATTTGTAGGTCTTTGTATTTTGTTATCTTCTCCACTTCTTTCTCGTCTATTCTGCTGTCTACAGGCACTGCCACGTCCACTATCCAGACTTTTTTGTCTTTCTTATCGACAATTGTTAAGTCTGGGGTGTTATGTTGCAGGTGCTTGTCTGTTTGAATTCTGAAGTCCCAGAGCAGTTTAATTTTATCATTTTCTATGACTTTCTCTATTTTATGATCCCACCAGTTTTTGCTTACAGGCAAATGATATTTCTTGCAGATNTGGACTTCAACTCCCAGAATTCCTGAGCCAGCCATGCTGAGGGGAAAGGGAGAGTTTCCAAGCTGAGTCGTGCTGGCTCAGGAATTCTGGGAGTTGAAGTCCACGAGTCATGAAGGGGCCAAAGTTCCCCCATGCTGGCTCAGGAATTCTGGGAGTTGAAGTCTATGAGTCATGAAGGGGCCATAGTTCCCCCATGCTGGCTCAGGAATTCTGGGAGTTGAAGTCCACGAGCCATAAAAGAGCCAAGGTTGACTACCCCTGCGCTAGACTGATGGCAGATTTCACCTCCCCCTCCCCCCCTCCACCCAACAGGTTTTTGATTATCATATTGATCTGGACAGTGCTTTTTTTGTAAAAAAAATAATAAAAAAAGGTGCCGGAACTCACACACATTATACAACCCGCCTTGCCTACCCTACAAGGTTCCATCCAAAAAAGGTGCCAGAACTCCGTTCTGGGTGTTCTATGACCAAAAAAAAAGCCCTGGGTGTGGAAAGGGACAGGAGTGGGATAGGGATAAGAATGGAATGTAATAGGTTTATTGGCCAAGTGTGATTATGCACACAAGGAATTTGTCTCTGGTGCAGATGCTCTGCGTGTACAGCGAGATAGGCGGCAAATAAATTTAACAATTAAATAAATACTTTTTCTCATCACATCCAAAGCATCAGACAGCCCTGCCCGGGTGGGGGGCAACCATCATCTGAGGTTGCTCGGAAAACACTACAATGCAATACAGCTAGTCCCCGACTTACAACAATTCATTTAGTGCCCGTTCAAAGTTACAACGGGATTGAAGAAAGCGACTTATGACTGTTTTTCACACTTATGACCGTCGTAGCATCCCTGTGGCCACGTGATCAAACTTAGGATGTTTGGCAACTGACTCATATTTATGACGGTTGCAGCGTCCGTGATCCCCTCTGTGACCTTCTGACAAGCAAAGTCAATGGGGGAAGCCAGATTCACTTAACAACCGGCTTAGTGATTTAGCAACTTCAGTGATTCACTTAACAACTCTGGCAAGAAAGTTCGTAAAATGGGGCCAAACTCACTAAACAAACGTCACACTTAACAACAGAAATGGGCTCGATTGTTGTCGTAAATCGAGGACTAGCTGTAGATTGTTAAGGTCGCCAAAGGCAGGTTGATCTTTTTCAGCAGGTCCCCACCACCACCCCACACGGCAGAAAGGCAGCAGATGGACCCTCCCAAGCTGTCCCGTTTCAGGCAGGGAAAAATTAAAGTTTTAACTCTTAGAACAGTGGTTCTCAACCTGTGGGTCAGGACCCCATTTGGGGTTGATCAACCATTTCACGGGGGTCGCCAAGCAAGGCTGTCCGCCATTTTTTTTGTCTGCCATTTTTTTTGTCCGCCATTTTTTTCCCCTTTTCCGGTGGGTGCCTTACCTCCCTTGGGCTGGGCCAGCTGGTGGTCGGCCTGCTCCGTCTCTGCCGCTTGCCAGCTACGCCTCGGCCGGCGCAGGGGGCGGAACCACGCATGGGCGGCGCTCCCGGGCAGGAAAAGTCCTCGACTTACGACCGGTTGGGTAGTCCTCGACTTACGACCAGTTTAGTCCTCGACTTACGACCGGTTGGGGTCGCGGCATTAAAAAGGTTGAGAACCACTGTCTTAGAAGAACCCCTGAAATGACTCCAGCCCCAAACCATAAAGTTGGTGAGGAAAGGCAAGGGGGGCCTTTTTCCCCCCCTCCCTTGGAGAAGGCAAGCCAAGATCCTGCCTTATTCCTCCAAACAGCCATTGCAACTCCACCCCCTCCATCTGCAATCCAGAAGACAACCCCCCTCCCGCCACCCCATCGGCATGGAGCCAGGCCAGACAGCCGGACAAGACGGGGGGGGGGGGAATCAAAAAGCAACTTGTCTGCCAGCTGAAAAGCCAACTTCCCCCCCCTTCCCAGGTTTTTAAGTCGCCTTAGAAAAAGAGCTGGAGTTTTGTGCACACACACACACACACATACACAAACCCTTTGTCGAAGGAGGCCTGGGTCTGCAAGGCTCCTTGGAGCCCCACCAGGAAAAGAAAGAGAAGAGATGCTTAAGGAGGAAGCAGCCCGTAAATCAGATCTGTCCAACCTTGGCAATTTTAAGACCTGTGGACTTCAACTCCCAGAATTCCCCAGCACAGCTATGCTGTGGATTTCAACTCCCAGCTATGCTGGCTGGGGAATTCTGGGAGTTGAAGTGTTACAGGTCTTAAAGTTGCCAAGGTTGGACAGATCTGTCATAAATAAAACTCAGCCCACTTTGCCTACTGCTGGGAAAACGGGGGGGGGGGACCTCTGGTCGCAAAATGAACCTCCCCCTCCCCTGGGGTTTGGTAAGTAAATCCGGCTACGCCCCCCCCAACACCCCCCTACTTCACAGGTGGTTTTAATCCAAGACATCCATTCTTTGCCCTGATATTTACATCTGCTGCCTTAAATGATAAGAATGATAACTCATAAGGATAATACAGTTAGTCCTTGCCTTATGACCACAACCGAGCCCAAAATTTATGTTGCTAAGTGAAACATTTGTTAAGTGAGTTTGGCCCCATTTTACCAGCTTTCCTGCCACACTTGTTAAGTGAATCGCTGCAGTTGTTAAGTTAGTCACAAAAAGGGGATCACATGACCCCGGAATACTGACACGGTCATAAATATGAGTCAATTGCCAAGGGTCTGCGTTGGCAATTGACTCATATTTATGACGGTTGCAGTGTCCCACGTGATCCCCTTTTTGGGGCTAACTTGGCAGCCTACCTTGCAGGGCTGTGGTAGGCACACGGCAGACTCGGGGAGAGGACAGACATCCGCAAAGGAAGGAATAAACCTCGGGGCGGCGCCCCACTTTTTCCAGGTGGTGCTCCGTCTTGCAAAGCATCCCGGCGCCCCCCACCCAAGGCCAGGGACTCCCGAGAGCCAGCCGGGGGTAGCCGCCCCAAGACTGCCCCCCCGTTTCCCCCTCTTCTCCTGGGGGGGGCGGAGAGGAAGCCGGGCCAGCTCACCCCCCCTTCCCAGAAAGGGAACTGCGGGGGGGGGGTCAAAGCCAGCGAGCGAGGGCGCTCCTCGCTGCCAAGGGCGAGGGGGCTCCCAGCCCCCCGAGGAATTTCAACCATTCCCCCCCAGCGCCTGGCCACGATCTCCGCGCCCCTCGAGTCTTTGTCTCCCGGCTGCCACGCTGCTCAACTCGGGGGTTGCGGGTGGGGGGGCTCCTCTTCTCGTCCCCCGCCCTTTTCTTTCCCTTTTGCAAACTTTAGCCCCCTCCCGTCCGTTTCCTTGGTCCGCTCCCGCAAGTTTAACTGGACGAGCCGCCGCCGCCGCCTCCCGCCGCCTGAGCTTCCGAGCAAAGGAGCGCGCCCCTTTCCTCTCCCCTCCCCGCGCTCTTTCCTCTGCAGCTGCACCCCGACGGGACGTTCCCCGGAGCAGGGAGCCCCCGACAGCTCACCGAGTCCTGGTCGAAGGGCTCCCGGGTCGCCAAGAACAACAGCCCCGATTCCCTCCGCCGAGACGACTGTCGCTGCTGCTGCTGCGCCGCCCTGCCCTCCCCGTCCAAGGTCCGCCCCCCCCGCCAGTGGGTGGAGCTTGCAGGGAAAGCCCAGCCCAGCTTGCGGTCCCGGCCTCGGCCAGCAGAGGGCGCGGAGGCGCTCGAAGGAGGCTCCGCCCCGAGGACGTTGCAGGGACTGGAGCAGGGGTTAGGCAAGCTCGGCTCTTTTATGACTCGTGGACTTCAACTCCCAGAATTCCTGAGCCAGCCATGCTGAGGGGAAAGGGAGAGGTTTCCAAGCTGAGCCAGGCTGGCTGAGGAATTCTGGGAGTTGAAGTCCACAAGTCATGAGGGGGCCATAGCTTCCCCATGCTGTCTCAGGAATTCTGGGAGTTGAAGTCCAAGAGTCATAAAACGGCCTAGGCCTAGGCCAGGGGTAGGCAACCTTGGCTCTTTTATGACTCGTGGACTTCAACTCCCAGAATTCCTGAGCCAGCCATGCTGAGGGGACAGGGAGAGGTTTCCAAGCTGAGCCAGGCTGGCTCAGGAATTCTGGGAGTTGAAGTCCACCAGTCATAAAAGAGCCAAGGTTGCCTACCCCTGGACTGGAGCGATCCAGGTTGCAAAGCGAATCCAGAAGTGCTTTTTTCACGAAGCAGCTGGACTTCCTTGTTTTGCCTTGAAGACACTTTGCTTCTCCTCCAAGAAGCTTCCTCAGTTCTGACTGGATGGTGGGGAATTCCACCAGAACTGAAGAGCTGAAGAAGCTTCTTGGAGGAGAAGCGATACGTCTTTAGAGAAAAACAAGAAAGTCCGGCTGCCTCGTGAAAAAAAAAGCACCTTTGGGAAAACTGGTATGACTGAGAATCTGCGGAGACAGTTGCAAAGCGAAGCGTCTGCGAGCTCAGCTATTGGGGGGGGGGGAAGGGTTGGTGGCAGAGGAAGGGTTGGGTAGGAAAGCGTGCCAAGGCTGGGAAACCGTGAGGTTAGAAGTGCCTCTGGGCATGGACAGAGCGTGCATCGCACTTTAAGCCATCGCAGGAACAGAATCCTGGAAATTTCGGGGTTTGCTTCACTTGTTTTCTCTTTGCTCGTTTGGTTTGGAGGTTCAGGGTCTGCTGAGTTCCCCAGCAAGGATCTTTTTAGTGGGGGTCTTCTTAGCACTCGTTTATTTTCAACGTAATACTTGCAAGCAGAATGTTTGCTACACACTGGTGACATGGCTAAATAAGCTCATTCTCCAATCAAGAACCCCTAATATTCATGCATATATTTATTCATTCGTGTTTTGTTATTAGTTGTGAAGTCGTGTCCGACCCATCGCGACCCCATGGACAACGTTCCTCCAGGCCTTCCTGTCCTCTACCATCTTCTGGAGTCCATTGAAGCTCACGCCTCCTGCTTCAGTGACTCCATCCAGCCACCTCCTTCTCTGTCGTCCCCTTCTTCTCTTGCCCTCCATCTTTCCCAGCATTAGGCCCTTCTCCAGTGAGTCCTTCCTTCTCATTAGGTGGCCAAAGTATTTGAGTTTCAACTTCAGGATCTGGCCTTCTAAAGAGCAGTCGGGGTTGATCTCCTCTAGGACTGACCAGTTTGATCGCCTTGCAGTCCAGGGGACTCGCAGGAGTCTTCTCCAGCACCATAGTTCAAAGGCCACACTTCTTTGGCGCTCAGCCTTTCTTATGGTCCAACTTTCACAGCCGTACATTGCAACTGGGAAAACCATGGCCTTGACTATACGTACTTTTGTTGGCAGGGTGATGTCTCTGCTTTTTAGTGTGCTGTCTAAATTTGCCATAGCTTTCCTCCCCAGGAGCAAGCGTCTTTTAATTTCTTGGCTGCAGTCCCCATCTGCGGTGATCTTGTAGCCCAGGAAGATAAAATCTGTCACTACCTCCATTTCTTCCCCATCTATTTGCCAGGAATTGAGAGGGCCGGATGCCATGATCTTGGTTTTCTTAATGTTGAGTTTCAAGCCAACTTTTACACTCTCCTTCTTCACCCGCATCATTGCTAAATGCCCTGAGAAAAATGGGCCATGCAGTGCACTAGATGACCTCTAGATGGTAGTAAGCAAACAGATCCTCTGCTCTCGCCAAGTGGCCCTCCTCTGGCCGTTCCCAGTAGTTCCCAGTTTATAGCAGGTTGACTCTCTTACCTCCCTTCAAATGTGTTTGGGACCCCAGCTTCTAGAATTCACCCCAGAATAGATAGATTTTGCTTCCTTGGAAAACTTGAGGTTTGTAGTCTGGCATATAAATTTTCTTAACTACATCTGGAAGGGACTTTGGGGATGGTCTAGTCCAAGGGTAGGCAACCTCGGCTCTTTTATGACTCATGGACTCCAACTCCCAGAATTCCTGAGTCAGCATAGCTGACTCAGGAATTCTGGGAGTTGAAGTCCATGAGTCATAAAAGAGCCAAGGTTGCTTACCCCTGGTCTAGTCCAACCCCCTGCTCAGGCAGGAAACCCTAAATCAGGGGTCTTCAAACTTGGCCCTTTTATGACTTGTGTTCAACTCCCAGAATTCCTCAGCCAGCTTGCCTGGCTGAGGAATTCTGGGAGTTGAAGTCCACAAGTCATAAAAGGGCCAAGTTTGAAGACCCCTGCCCTAAATGGACAAGTGGATGTCCAGTCTTTTCTTGAAAGCCTCCAGTAATGAAGCACCCACAACTTCTAGAGCCAGGTCGTTCCACTGATTAATTGTTCTCACTGTCAGGAAAACCTTAAGGTTTCTTCTCTCCTTGATTACGGTAGCTTCCATGCATTGCTTCTTGTCCTGCCTTCAGGTGCTTTGGAGAATAGGTTGATCCTGCTTGTGTATTGTGTATTTGAAAGTGAAACACACTTAATCTATGCTCAGGAGTTAAAGCATCGTTCCTTTTTCACATGTTCTTGCTTTCACAAAAGTCTGTGTAGTCAGAGGAGAGGAAGAAGAGAGACAAATCAAAGCCAGAGGTTGGTTTGTACATATTACATCTGAGGTGATCCACACAGAGGAACATATCCTTAGTCCGCTGTGTGCTGGGACAGATCAGCTACAGGCCTTACTCTGCCCACAGCCATCGGATGGTGTGGTTTTCGTATAACATTGTTTGTGAAGCCGGCTATCCTGATTTCTAAAGCATGATTGAGAACTCAGCATATTGCATAAACCTTAGTCTGCAAAGCTAGCGATGGGCCATCACCTGATTAGCAGGGTCAGCCTTGGAAACAAAGAGAGAGAGAGAGAAAAAAACATTTCCAGTTGCTCCACAAAACTCATGATGTAGACAGAACTTAAATTTTCCCCAGCCCTTTTGAATAACCTTGTCCACGGAGTGGGTCTCTTTTTTTTAAATTTAGATGTTTAGTTTACTCAAGGTTAAAATACCAAATATCCAAAAAAGGACAAAATAATAAAAAGAAACCCAACAAAAAATCATTAAAAAGAAAAAGTGTTTAAGAAAAAGTTGAATGCTGATTAATGTAATATAACAATCATATATAATATTAGTTTCTTATCTCTTGCAAAATAGGCCAAAAGAATTTTAAACTGTTACACTACTAAATCTACTTACAAATTGTTAGCCTGTTATCTATAAATTATATTAATAACAAAATAGGTAACAGTACTAGCAATAAGAGATATATAAAAGCATAAAAATAATAAAAATAATCAGAGAAAGACAAGATTGAAATTCCAAAACCCTCTATTAACAAACTCTTATTGTAATCAACTCCTAGGAAATTTACCACAGCTTCAATCCCAAATCATCCCAAATATTAACCCTAATTGGTCCCGGATTATGGTGTGGATCTCTCAGAGGTTTATCCCCACCCTGCTTCACACCATTGCTAAGAAGCTAAAATACAATCCTGAATTTGCTGGAGAAAGCACAAGGGTCAGGCAGGAAAGCTAAAACAGTTGTGTTTTCTGGTGCTAACAATAACAGATTATAAACTAAGGTGACCAACCGTCCTCCTTTAGGGAGGACAGTCCTCCTTTTGTAAATTCTGTCCTCCCTCGAAAAGTGTCCTCCTACATGTCCTCCTTTTTGATATTTGAAGACTATCAAATTTGCAGGGCTTTTTTTTTCTCAGAACGCTCAGAACGGCGTTTTTTGATGGTTTTTTTTTTCAACTTTTGCATGAGCTGTGCTACTCCCACTATTGGCTTTCAAAAGCCAATAGGAATTGCTGCTGAGCGTGCCAAAACACCTGGCTGGCAAACTTTGCACATGCAAGTTGTCTGTATTATTGTTGCAATGAATAAAATGTTTCTTTTATTTACGATATTTTTTTCTTCAATTTATTTGTGTCCTCCTTTTCATTGTAAAAAAGTTGGTCACCTTATATAAACTGTTGAAGGAAAAATCTTCATCAGGGTCCAGTCCAAGCCGGGAATAAAAGACATGGCGACTGCTTTAGAAAGAAGGTTGTAGTTGAAGGTTGAAGAGGAGAACCAGACAGAAAGATGGCTCTGGAAGAAAAGAGAGTGAGCACATGTAGTAGGGAGTGGGTTGTTATACCCTCTTGGGCTTTTGTTTGGAGTTGTTTCCTGTTCCTGTTTGAGGCTTTGTATTTCCTGTGTCATGTACTTTGACCTGAGTCTGAGTGTGCCCCTTTGGCATCTATGGGTTAATCCTAGTATGTCCTGTCTTAGAGTTTGGGTGGGGTATGTAGATTTTAGGTGTTTTTGTCTTCCTAAGCTTCTAGCTGGGGGCCTCCAACCTTCCTGAATAGATTATTACATCTGCATTTCTACAGAGCTGGTTTCTGCTTGGGGGAGGGAGACTTGGGACTATTAAGAAAAACTGGGCATGCTTTTCTGCCTCTTTAAGATCCTTTGAGGAAATATAATATTCTGCCCTTTTAATATTTCCTACTCGGGGAGGGGGGGCTGACTTCCCACAAAACAATAACAGATCATCATCACATCAGCCTTGATGGATTGCAGCCCACTTTGTTTAGCCTAGCAGCTTCTCTTCTCCTTGTATTTTCTATACAAGGAATGGCATTTTAGGAATTTTGTATAAAAATAGATTATACATTGTATTGGAAAAGCAGAGAGGA